ATATGAGGAGAGAGAGAGAGAGAGAGAGAGAGAGAGAGAGAGAGAGAGAAAGAGAGAGCTTTTCATAACTTATCAAAAGATTTTTAATACACTATTTTCTCGGGCGACAAACCCTCCAACAAAACAAGCTTTTTGTGTACACATAATAAAATAGATAGCGAGTGATGGGGGGCAGGGGTTAAGGGGTATAAACACCGGGGTTTGCGAGAGAGAGAGAGAGAGAGAGAGAGAGAGAGAGAGAGATTGGGATAAATGACTTTTGAAGTGCTGGAAAATATTTTTCTCCAAATGATTTTGTTTGTCAAATATTTGTTTGTAAAATTTTTATTATTATTTTTTCAATTTTTACTATTTATTTGTCTAAATAACAAGAAATGTCTTATCAATCAATAGGCGTGTGGTTTGTATTCACAGAATCATAGAAAAACAATTCAAATTTTATAAATTCAATAATACTTAATAATTATTAAAAAAGTTAATAATAGAAGTTATATATAAAATCGTGTATAAATTATACAAAAATTAAACGAGATTTCAGTACAAATTATTGTGTGTATATAATTAAATAATTATAAATCGAGATTGTTTAGGCACTTGTGTTTTTATTATATAAATATATTTATTATTATTTATATATTGTTATATATTATAATTACTTTAATGTGAAATAGTATTACATTTATCAGAATCACTAAAATTAAAAATTATTTAAAAAGTGATTTATAAAACCAGAAAACTATTTATAATAATTATCGTAATTATAATTTGTTATTAAATTAGTCTCGGCGAGATAATTGTTTGAGTGAAAGATTAAGGTAAGAAAAAGTGGAAAAAGTAATTTTACAATTAAAATGCAAATCACAATCGCTATGAAGAAGAGATTGAAAACAAAATAAAATTATAATTGCATTAAACAAAACACGTATCAAAAACATATACACATGTGATGTGAGAGTAGTTTTTATGAAATATTATTAAAACAATTTGTGTATAGACTGTGACGAGAGAGAGAGAGAGAGAGAGAGAGAGAGAGAGAGAGATGACAAAACAACATATTTAATGATAATATAATTGAATTATGAGTTCAACTCTTCGGTTAATATTGTTGATGAACAGTAGAGAAGATATTAAGATATGGAGTCTTAAGAACTGTGTGTTTATCTCAATGTTTATATAAAATCTGATAAAAGGGAGTTTACTATACCTTTAGACAAAGGTACGTGAGCTGAGGTGTGTGAATCCCTACATAACATTACTTATCAGTTTACGTAAGTAATCTCTGTGTGTAGATACCTCACAAACTCTGGTTTTCTTCATCAAATAATTTCATCAATCAATTCATTTGCACTTTACATATGAATAGAAAGCATTCTTCGGCTAAAATCAATGCATTCAATGAGGGTTTTGTGTGAAATAAATTAGAGGTTTGACTGATGTGTACAACTCTATCATGAAATTTGAGCCCAAAGTGTA